TTGCACTGGACTAATGGTGCTTTGGGATTATTTTGGTCTATGCCAGAGTCCTTCTGCATTCTTCCAATGAGACCATGCATCACTTCACTGAACATGCCGTCCCCACCAACACAAACAACACTGCCAGGAGACACAAATTAGAATGCACACTAACAGTCAATAAACAACACGGCAAGTGTTCTACTTAGGGCATGCACTGGGCACATCAAAAATAGTTGTTCTATTCTCCTCCTCCATTTTTGCAGAATACAGTAGCCCACAGTCAACTTGGCAATTAACAAAAAACAGAAAAAAAAATTCAAGCTACACAACTGCAAATGCTCCTAGACATGTCTGCAATGTTAGAAAAAAATGTTGGAATGCAACCTAAAAAAAAAAAAAAATCTTTATCCTCTATTGCTGAGTGCAGACAGACAAGTATCAGTGGAAATTCACTATACAAGGAAAACACTGAACAGGACTGTACATAAAGCTTTCTAAGTAAAAAAAAATGGAAATAGGGTACCTTTACTAAAAAGGGAAAAGTAACTGAATATTTGTGGCTTCAGGCAGAAGTATATTTTACACTATTAATTTAATAGGGATATACATTATATGAAAGTCAAAAAACAGAAAAGTGCATGCTTGCATGCTCTTCTGAACATGCTGAGAGCCCATCAAACCGACAGAAATCATGTATATCTACATAACCATTCATAAAGAAACACAGAGTTCTAAATGTTACCAGATGCCAAACTTTGTTTTGCAAACTTAATTCGTTCAGAGCTGGTGCAGCAACTACACAGATCCTCAATATGTTAAAGCTCAGCAGAGAGTCCACAGCCAAGCAAATACTAGGAAGTAAAAGACTGTTCTACAGCAGTATACATTTCATGCACAATAATCAAATGCACACTCTGAACTCTAAAAGCATAAACATTCTTTAACCGAAAAACTAATTCAAATACGCTTTAAAGGAACACATGACAAATCCAAAGTTATGCATGTAGTCCCCAGCATTCCTAAACATCCTAAATGTTTAGGAATGTTTACTGTTATCTATAGCAATCATTTCCAATGCATAAACTAATACTTAGCCTTCTGCATAGTCAGCGACAGATATTGCAGAATAAGCATTTATTTCATAGGACAAGTTAGTTTATTTAATTTTTAAGTATTGATTATTTAAATTTACTTATTATTGTATTTTCAGCAGAAGGAAAGCTTGAAAAAACCCAGTCATTTGTTCATGAATGGAGAGGACAGTCTTAAAAATATACACTGTCCAACTCTAAGTCAAGACCTAAGAGACTGGGAGAGAAGGGAGAAAAGGATGTTTGTTTTTCATTTTTATAATTGATTTCTCTTCTCATAGCTTAACTACATTATTCCTCAACTTTAGCCTGTCTCATCTTTCTCTGCAGACTCTAAGAAAGAGGTTACATGGACAAAAATTTCCATGTCAGTTCAAGGTCAATGTTGTCTCAGTAGTATTCTATTTGTAACAAACACTATATCCAGGCTCAGAGATGACAATGATATTAATGTCTATACCTATCAAGGGTAAATACTGACAGATAAAGAAGTTCACATACACAATATCAGCATGACCAAATTCATTGCAAACATCAGGTGACCAAGGGGCGAGTCACACGTGTGAAGGCCCCTAGTGAAGAATTACTGTAAGACAGAGCATTTTAGAGTGATTCTTACATTTTGGGTTTATTTTTCTAATGGACTAACATTTGACTTTTTAGACAGATGGTAACAGTAAACTACATATGCTAAAGGACTTCAGGAGAAGGAAGTCCACAAGACAAATGAGTTCTAAAAGAACTATGGTCCCTTCTAATCTCAACCATTCTGTGAACTAATTCAAGAAGTAGGAAAAAAAAACAACCTGAAACAGTTTTACACAGGCTTGTGCAACAGGCATACGGATAAGGAAGCATAGTGATTCATATATGTCAGACTTATTCTAAACATGGTCATTACCTACGCAATATTATAGCATGCTCTAGTTGTTCTGCACAATGATGTACAAAAACCTCCTATATGATAATTGAATGAATATTTTAAGTAACTGTCTTCAAAGAGAAGCTATTCTATCACTGAGCTATTAGATTAGTACACTCACCATAAGAAATTCTTATAAGGGAAACAGGAAGAACAAACAGGAAACACACACAAGAAGTTTAAATGAGCTGTCTCAAGTAAATACACTTGGAAAGCAGTGAAGCTGCTATCATTAAGAACCCCGTGTCTAGTTCCAAAATTACTGGCATGGCTTTACCAAATAGGGAATCTGGAGATTAAATGAAGAAACTCATCACTGAATGAAGGGAAAGCCACTTATCAGAACGAATCTAAGAGGACAGGTGAACAATTAGATGTAGGAATCCAAAGAAGTTTTTCCTGTATGTGAGAAGAGTCAAACTTGAAGAAACACACGCATTTGTGCGGTTCAACCATTTTTTAAATCTTCCATGAAACCATGTGATCTGTTATCTAAAAATTGGTATTAATACAAGAACTCCTTCCTAATATCACTGTCCACCACAGAAACAGACTTGTACATGATGGATAAAAATCAGACTTCGAAAGACAGGTTGCAGTTCCCAAGCTAACTGCCATTAAGACCCAGCCTGGGAATAACAGAATCATGAGATTCTAAAAAGATGCAGTTCTCTGGCCAATTGTTTAGCTCACTCATGTTAGAGAGAGAAAACCAAAAAACCCCACCAAGGGAAAAAAAAAAAAAAAAAAAAAATCTACAATAAGAGACTGTTTGAATCTGCCAAAAAACACTTCAGGTACCACTACCATTGGTCACTGCCACTTGTTGTAAAAAACCAATTTGCTAGGAGTGGACATAGGCTCACTTGCTTCCCTTTTCTGCTCTGTATTGGAATTTCACCAACCGTCAGTATTACCTATTTCAAATCACTTAAATCAAATGAAAAGGAAAAATCTTAACTAACTAGGTTTTTTTAGGATCCCAGTTTCCCTTCCTTGCAATTCTGCAAAATTAAGAAGAAACCCAGTATAGTCAAAACTGCTGTCCTGATTTCGGCTGGGATGGAGTTGATTTTCTTCCTATTAACTGGTATAGTGCTGTGTTTTGGATGTAGTATGAGAATAGTGTTGATAACACACTGATGTTTTAGTTGTTGCTAAGTAATGTTTATGCTAGTCAAGGACTTTTCATCTTCCCGTGCCCTGCCAGGTGCGCGGGGGGTTGGGAGGGAGTGTGGCCAGGACGGCTGGCCCAGCTGGCCAATGGGCTATTCCATACCATATGACATCATGCTCAGCATATAAGGCTGGGCGAAGAAGAAGGAGGGGGGGGACGTTCGGAGTGATGGCGTTTGTCTTCCCAAGTAACCGTTACCCATGATGGAGCCCTGCTTTCCTGGAGGTGGCTGAACACCTGCCTGCCGATGGGAAGTAGTGAATGAATTCCTTGTTTTGCTTTGCTTGCGCGTGCGGCTTTTGCTTTTCTTATTCCTATTAAACTGTCTTTATCTCAACCCACGAGTTTTCTCACTTTTACCCTTCTGATTGTTTCCCCCATCCCACCCAGGGGGAGTGAGCGAGCGGCTGCGTGGTGCTCGGTGGCTGGCTGGGGGTAAACCACGACAACTGCTTATTTAAAGTCAACTCATTTTAAAGCAGGTGAAGTCTAGGAACTCAACCTGTGAATGTAGTTTCTTACTACCACAATTTGTCAACATCATGCCCTCCCTTGATTTACACAATGCATATAGATCTGCTCCCCCAGCAAAAGTACTCTGAAAAAATAGAAAGTGTTTATTTTTGCAACTTACCAGTTGAAATGTACCTGCCAACAAGCACAACAAGATACTGTTGTAAAATACTGTAGTTATGAGCATTTACCTGCATAGGTTCTGCATACAATTTCATGATTTTCCAGTCACATAACTTGTTTTATGTCATGAACCGGAAACTGGAATGACTAGCTTATTTATTAAAATACTCTGCTTCTACAGCAGATTTAATAATGGAATGCAATTTCCACCATTCAGTTAGGTCTTCTTTTAAAACGGTAATTCCACAACAGAACAAACACAAATAAAGCCAAATGACGTAGCCATTATTTGAACAGTCCTACATAGCAAGAAGAACTATCTGAAACATTTCTAAACTGCTCATGGTTTTTACACACAGGCTGAATGCTACCGATGCAGTGTTCTGGACTCATGTATATGTCAAGATAACCTATACCACAAAACATTTCAGGGTAGCTTTCAAGCTGTCAAAGAATGCTCAACTTCTGGATGAGCAGATTCAATCTTACATTCATGTTCTGAACACAAATCTCATGCAAACATTGTTATACTACACTTGAATATATTGTGTGCTGAACAGGTTTACTGAAACAGTTTATTTTTCCTTTGATGCTCCTAAATGTGGATCTCCTATGGAAAGGAATATGGCCCAGAACTTTCAGCTGTTGCAATAAACATATCGGCAATGAAGGCTACTATTTTAAATTAGAGACAAGAAAACACAGATTACAGAATATATTAGCTAGAAAAGAAAAAAAAAAAAAAGACAAGTGAAGTTACTTACCCATCATATTTATTAATATTAACTTCAAATAAATTGTCCTTAGCATGGTTAGCATGTTCAGTTACTATGAAGAAATAAACACATTAAAAATTACTGTTATAAAAATACTATTATAAAATGGTATATAACATACAACTATAAAAATGTTATTATTAATTCATTAATAACCATGATTCTATTACCAATGTGACCATAAAACAGCCTGCCCACAAAATGTGTTTCAAAAGATTTTATGCCAAGGAAAGAACTGAAAGAGACGTGCACTGCAGTATATATGGAAAAATATTTCATTAAAAAATTGTGCAAATGAACAATTGGTTTTAACAGTAAAACTGAAAAAGAGAAGAAAGGCAGTACCTTATAAATTAAGAGCTCAAATAGCTCAGAGTTACCAGAAGTTTGAATTTAGTAAGCAGAAAATTGATACAAAGTCGCCATTTATCTGGTTACCTATGCTTTAATTAGAAAGCATTCCCTCTCTACCACTTAGGAAGTTTCATTTCCGTAGTAAGAAAAGGTAAGTAACAGAAAGAACTTAAGCTACTCAGAGATGTTTTAAAGAGTTCGTATTGTGTTTATTAAGAAATTAAAATATTCGTTACTCACTAACAACATCAGTGGAAATAGAAGCCAGACTGAAGAGTGGAGCAACTTTCTGTTCATAAATCCTCTTCCCTTGTCGTTTTCCTCCATATGGATTAATATACACAAGCAACTGCTTTGGTCTAGACTCTGCAGTAAGGAAAAATATTATAGTATACTGCTTTTGTACACAAAACAAAAATTCAACAAGTTATACAAAAACAAACCTGTAAACATCAAAGTGAACACAGCATACAAGCCTTTTACAAGGCTTTATCAAAGAGCTATAAAAACCTGCTTCATCTATCCTCTTTATTATACTGAGGATACTGACAGTATTAAACAAATTGGTAATAAGACAGCAGGTGAAATTCAGAATCATTTCTTCTGACTCCAGGTCTCACATTCTTACGCGTATTATTGTTGCAGTACCTTCCCACCAAATGACATGAGTATCACAGGCATAAAAGACAAACCAAGGGCAGCAATAGGAAAGGCACTTGTGAGTGAAGCATACATAGAAATACTTTTACATTAATTTATTTAAACAACGTTCTTGCTTTGGTAACATAGTTATAATGCATTTCCTTTCTGTGATAAAGACACAATAAGAATACCTCACAAAACTACATGCAAGCACAGCAAGTGCTTGCCCTATAGTGTAACCCCTTCCCCCCAGAAAACACCTTTGATATTATTATCTCAGGTTTGTTCAAATAGTTATAAGGATTTACATTGGTGGTGGCAATGAAAACAATTATTACACCTCTGTACTAACAGATACACAAAACAGTAATGTTTGCTGCACCTAGAGAGCCCTCCTTTTTTGTATAGAACACAAAGACCTGTTATAACATTCACACTTCCTCAGACAGCATTCTAAATTATTACTTTAAAAGAAAAGAATAAACAGTTCAGCACACTTGCATAATAAATCCACCCAAGCTAAACTGTTTGAATGGTTTAAAGCTGCCACACATACAAAGCACCGTTCACCCTCTCCGAGAACTTGTTACCTTTTCTGAAATAGTTTGTAATCAATAGGATGAACACTTGCACTCAAAAGGAGATGACTGCCCAGGCCACATCTCTCACAGGTGTACGCATGGCTGCACAAACCCCCTTTTTTGAAATATTTTATTGGAAGCCAGATACCTCATGTAACATACGCATAACAAAAACATTAATAAGATGCATGCTTCCAATGCCTGTTCAGAAGAACATTTTTTGTTAAATATCCATTTTTATTCCGTAAGCCTTAAGTATTTGCTTGAGTCACATCATAGGTGTACTGGTACCCACTCCCTTCTCTGGCTCTGTGTCTCTCAGATGGACCTCAGACTTACCAGGTTGCTTATCTGCAAGTAGCTTATCTCCAGTCCTGCCTCCATCTCCATCTCCTGCTGCTCCTGTCTGGCCCCCCTGGATGGACCTGATCACTTTATCTCATCTGGGCTGTAAATGGGACCTGCTGCTACCCCCATCCCTGCTCCGCCCACCTGCTCAGATACAGTGGGACTGCATCGTGGTCAGTGAGGGCACTGCCTGTGCTATGGTCATCCTTGACCTCCCTTCTGTCATGGAGTTGCTCTGCTCCTGCCGCTCCCTGGCATCTGTCAAGGTATCTCTTTCAAGAATAATTCCTGCAAAACTACTTTTAGCCTTCCAAGCAATAGACATCCAAGAGTCCCAGAAATTATTAATGGGAACTCTTACTACATAAGGCACATTGTTGATGAGACTGGAAAGGTGAGACAGACACACAAAAAGCCACCCATAAATCTTAAAATTGCTACAATCCTTGTCCTCAGATCTCTAGAGTACCTCAAATCTCTCAGCTTACATCTGCCCTTTACCTTCTCCAAAGTTACAGTCATTTAAAGCCCCTGCTACGCTTCTAATGTGTCCTATTTTGTGAAAATAATTTACATCTGGGCAAAATTATGACACCTATAGTCCTGACTGATTAGAGTAAAACAGTACAACTTAGCAAATATGCAAGATACAGAAGTAGTGATAAGGAGACACTTCAACTCTCAGCTCCATCAACTTTTGAGCAAGAGTCGCTCTTAAGAGTTCAAAAAAGCAGATGTATCAAAATAATATTAATTGACTTACAAGCTTGTAAAATGTTACTAGTTTAGTCAAACTTACTCTGCATTTCAAGTAATTCTTTCAGCGCCTGTATCCACTCATTACACAAGTGCTCATCAACACACCAAAACGTCACATCACTGCACCGCCAGCGGTGATTTCGGGCTTTCTTCACGTAATACACTATTTAGATTGGGGGGGGTGGGGTGGGGGGGGTGGAACAAAAAGGCACAGTGACACAGTTCTGTGAAATGACAAATGTATTTCAGAGAGTTCTACAAAATATCTACCTTTGGAAAAAAGTGGTAATTAACCCTGACTACACATTTCTGCAAATGACAGAAGCATTCAGAGTGTGAACAGAACATTTGTAAAAAGTCAAAATGAAAACATAAATGAAAACACTTGCTCTAGGTCGTTACCTTATAGCAGATACCCAAACATAAACTTCTTTTTAAACCAAATAAAATCCATTTTCCATAAACTGATCATAGACATACTTATACAAAAGTTCACTGAGCTTACACATTATTTTATCCATATTAAAATCTGCAATGTCTACATAATATAAAATGCCATAAACTTAAGAGGATAAGCTAAACCTGCACATCAGCTCCCATGTAACCAGCAGGGTGAATTTAATTTCATAAAGCTGAAATTTGAGAAAAAAAATTTAGAGTTTTCTTGTGCATTAAGAACTAAGCTGGTGAGACAAGAAGCACCCTTACTTTCCAACTACAGTATCACCAATCATTGTTACTTAAGGACTAAACGTGATCAAAGTAGTCCACAACATAAAATTTTGGCATGGAAGCAATCACATTTGCCCCAGCTTTGCAGCACAGAAGTCACCACTCTCTGCAAAACAAACAGAAATTTATTTCTGGCACTTTGTTTTAAGAATGCAGTCAATAATACAAAGAACCTTTACATGCACACATCCCGATGGTTAGGGATAATTTTAAAAACCCAAACATTTAGGACTCATTTTTCCAGCCTCTCCCTTGATTTTCTAGTCAAGTAGTAGAAAGCAAGTTTCCTGCTGCAGAGTCATTCAGCAGCAGAAACATAAGACACTAGTTAGGACTTCATTAAAAAACTAAACACAGCATGTGTTCTTAAAGGAAGGGTTTTATTTTCCAAAATAAGGATCTTTAAATGTAAACAGGCAGATTTTTGGTGGGATTTTTTTGGTTTGTTTCATGGGTTTTTTGGTTGGGCTTTTTTGGGGCTTTTTTGGGAGGCAGGGTGTTTTGGTTTTTTTAAACGCATCATTTCTGTTTAAAAAAGTTCTGAAGATTCCTTTTGAGTCTGCCCTAAAGTACCTCCAGCAAAGTAATTAGCACAAGCATCCTGAGACTGTATTGGCCTTACCTGTGAAAGCATGTGGCTTTGCCATCTTTTGCCATTTGCCAATATTACGCTGTTTCTTGTTAAGTTCAGTTTCTTCGACAGCAATGATCTCAGAGGTTGGTACAAAACAGTTTTCTGTATGAACACAAGATCTTACACATTAACATCTTAAAACAGCACCAGAATGATTATTTCTACACATAATATGATACAGACATACAATTAAAGTAGCTGCTCAATAAGCACAACTAAGACCATAAGTAGAAATTTGCTGAATATTTTCTATTTCCTTTTGCCTTTAGCCAAAGCACATAATCCATAACCACCTATGAATTACCCCAAATAATATTTTAAATGTCTATGATTTCTCAGAAAATTAGGTTTCTGAGTATAAAAACATTTTTGCATGAAGCCAAAATCCAGCAACATTGATTTCAGAGTAATGAAATTGCCCCTTCAATGACGCCTAGTCCAGATATTTGACAGTGAATAGCACAAGCCATTTAAAAGAATGTGCAACTAAATCTAGAGCAGAGAGACTACAGAGGCTATTTGTTATTCTCCAGTAAGTAGTTGGCTTATGAAAGAAGGGCATTCATATGAATTCTTAAGACTTTAAATCCCACTAAGCTTTTAAACTTCAGGATCTCCTAAGAAGTAAATTCTAGATGTTATGTTTTATGTACTGTAAAATATATTTCCCTTGCATCAACTTCAAAACTATTGTTTTTCAGAATTGAAGGCCTCTTGCTCTTATACTATGAAAGAATTTCATCCACCCTCGCTCTATTTTCTCTTATAGTCCCTCAACACCTTCTCAGTCTTCTTAACTCCTGTCAAATTGAGGATTTTATCTCATTTTCATTAGTGATTTCAAAATTTCTCTGCTTTTACCTTCTCTCAAAAAAAAAAGTGGAACTGAAAATGCATGCTTTGTATTTATGTACAAGCAAGCGCTCTGTGTATATATATATATACATACTTAAAAAACATTTAATTACATAAGATATTATTATAATCATAGAATCTCTTACATAATAGAAGTATAATACACTTGTTTCTCTCACATATCGATAGATACATATATAGAGAGATAGAGATATACAGAGATATTAAACACATAAAATACAAACACTAATACTGTTGTTACTGGGTTTTATCCCACATTTCATCTTCCTCCCTATTTTGCAGAAGTACCATGGTGGTGGTGAGGAATGTAACATAAGCAAAAAATCTTTCTGAGCTCTTCACAGTGGTGACTACAATTCATTTGCCACTAGTTCGATCCCCACCCCCCCTTCCCCGTCTTATTTATTTGTTTTAGTCAACAGAGTTGTTACCTATTGTCATGTCTATTGATATGTCATGGACTACACACACAAGGTTTTTTTCCTTTAAGGTGTTTTAGTGTTTGACTTGATTTATATTCCTTTAGGGATTTTATCTTCCCAGAGGTTTTTAGCTTGACTCCAAAGAAATGTAGCCTCCAAACTTTACACTGAGGTCTTTTAGGAAACTGGTTGTATTCAAATGTTTTAACTACTTGCAAAACAAATTTCAGCTTATAATTGCATTTACTATATTTAAGGCATGATGGGGAAATGCAGCAGTCACAGAAAATCTTTCTAAAGATTCAACAGCAGAGATGAACTCACTGAAAACACTTTATTATATACAGATACAGATATCATACACATACACATGTATGACTATATCAAGTATTTAATATTGGATAGTAACAGTTAATTGGTCTTCCTAACATTCAGAGAAAAGATCTGCTCTATGGGATCTCAATATGATTATCCACCTATCCATTTATCCAAGGAAAAAAAAAGATAGAATGGAGATGGAACAATAAATTAAGGGAAGGGAGCATGTTCTTTAACCTTTGTTTCGCAGAACTGTTTTTAGTTCTCATTTTTCTACTGGCTATGCCACCTATCCATATGTCAGAATATGAAAGAAAGCTTGTTGCATTTTTATAATGAGTTACTACATAAGTGCAATCTTTTTGTTGTTGCTCACAGATATGCTACAAAACTGACAAACTAGATTTAGATCAAAACTTAAATGACAATGCTCTCATGAACATTTTGGGAAATAGTTCTACATACTGGATACTTATTAGCATGTATGCTAGGAGCAGCAACAGAAGTCATTGTTTTATTAGGCATTTTCTATATAATAGAGAAAGCTGTTCAACTGTACAGATAGCAAATAGATTAAAAAGCACTTCCAAATCTGTATCACTGAAAGCATTTCTTTGGAGTATATATTTTAGCACATATTACACAGCTTATATTAACAACCCTGAAACCACTTCTGCTAAGCTCTCCTAATTCTTCAGATGTGTTCTCCCTCTGACAGTTGCATGACTGCAAGTTCTGCTTTTCCAGCAATTCCTTTCACAGATGCGGCAGAAAGCAGAGAATAAATGTTTTAGCTATATATGTGCATTTTTTTATCTTAAGCCACAAGATTTACATATCTGAAAAAAAGATTCCTTAAACCAAAAAACCAAACCAAAACAAAAACAAAAAACAAACAAAAAAACAAACAAAAAAAAGGAAACAAAAGCAAAGAACAGAGTGATCCCACCTTCCCTCTGTAAATCTTTGGGTTTGGTAAAAGTCTGACAAGGTTCTGTTCAATGAATACCAGCTGTGCATATTGTGGCCCTCAGTACTACTTGGTAACGTACAAGCATCAAGCAACTCCACTGCTGTGACAGTGTACTCCAATCTTGAGGCAGTCAAAACCACACGCTACCTAACAGAGTAATTGCAGAGGGCCAGAAAGATGCAAAGCTGTCTCAAATACAAACATGTTATTCAGAACATTCCCTACAGCTTATAAAACCAAATCTGAATCCAGCGGCATTTGTGTTTGAATAGAGCTCAAGAATTTCTATCAGTCCAAATATGACTATCACTATTCAACTTCGTGTTATACAGTATATTGTTTAATCAGAAAGCAAATCAACTTAGTCCTACCCTCCCCAGAAGGGAGAAGTTTCCATTGCAAAGAAATGAAACAGACCTTCAATACAAGCAGCACAATCCTGCTCCTTTAAATACAATGCCCTCATCTGCCATTTAATCACCAAAATCCACCCCATAAAAATAAGTAGGTTTATCCCACCCTCTTGTGAGAGGTCAACAAGGTTCACATATGTACTAATTATAGTCCTTTCCCACACCTACTTTTGTAGCGGTTAGCCTATTATCAAGTAGCATGAGCTATTTCTTTCACTAATTTAGCATAAAGGTGTTCACTCATAAAGGCCTTCGCCTTTATGAGTTTCTCCCAAAACACAGAAAATATTATTGCCACATTAACAAAAAAAATTGGTACTTACATCAGCACTACTAAATCAACATTAATGAAAAAAGTTGAACTATGGGCTCAGACCATACCAAACAAAGAATTTTACTTGGCTCAGTACAATATACTCAAGCAAGTAGCACACAACAGTTCCTAGACAAAATTCCAGGCAAAATACCGTGACTTTTTCAACGTACACATCTGGATTCAAGAGACTCAATTTCGAGTTCAGAAATACTAAAGTACATAACAATTTTCTCAAGCTTAATCTCAAAGATCTTCACACATTTATGTTTTCACGTCTCACCTTGTTCAATTTCTAGCACACATGACACACTAAAGATAATGAGTTGCCCATCCAGAGCAGCTGGATGAAGGGACATGGCAAAAAATTAAAAAAACAAACAAAACACACAATGGACAGGCGATAGTCTTCCCAGCACATTAGCTGTGCCAGTCATCACTCGTTCTGGGTTACAGTGCTCTTTCAGTCTTAACAGACACTCTTCTTGAAGCGCAAACTGACAAATCAGCAAAATACTGTGTTGGATGCATACTACTCTTCCCCATATTAAGCAAGTGGGAAGGGAGAAAAAAAAAACAACAGCTAAGGTAAGTATACTAACAGTGGGCTTTCTTTGTGAAAAATGTAGCCAGCAGTTGTGAAGTGTGTTTTTCTGTGTTAAGACTTTTTGGTGCGTCATTGCTGTCTGCCACTCCCACAGAACACTTCCTGAGTTTACAAGTAAACTCACTCAGAACCCAAGTCAAGATTTGTTCATTCATCACTGCCAGCTGCGCATCCTACAGGCCAAATTCCTCTCTCAGAAATGTGCTAGCTTAAAGCACAGACATGTGCAAAAGCATAAAAACGTTACTGATCACAGCATTCAGTTTATTCTTAAAATTCAGCTCAGGCCCATGGATGCAGTGGCATTCAGAATTAATTAAAATTATTAGTATACTCTTGTGACTTATATTAACTACTAAAAAGCTGGGGTGCAGATTTAAAGAAAAAGTATTTTTTGAGTCACTTTGAAAACTGATTTATTGTTACAGACCACATGAACGGTAAGTTATCTTGTCCTAAGTTTAAGCTTTGCCTTCATCTAAAAGGAAGAAAACAAGAACATTTTCCATCAGAAGGTACATTGCATTATATTGATCATGCACTACAGAAAGCTGTGTCTAATAAAGACCAGAATAAGAGAATATAGTGGATAGGGATATAGAGCAGAATTACACAGAACTCACATCTGCAGGGGGGGGAGGGGAAGGGAAGGGGGTGCATCACGACTAAATGATTTAATTCAAAACTGTGGAAGAGTCACAGAAACATCTGAAGGCCATGACCTCACAATATACAGCCATGTATAGGGAAATTGGCTTTTTTTTTTTTTTTAAAGTAAATCGTCAAGTACTTCGTAAACTAATAGACAATAGCCTAGATAATAGAACACACAGTTCCTGATATGATCAGACACACAGTTGCTACTTCACACCACCTATCTGAATTTGAATCAAATCACAGCAATTTGAACTTGGATCAATTTGCACATTTAAATCATACTACTGAAGGTTTTCCCACTGATTTTTTTTTTTAAATTTCCAAATTAAATTTTTTCAACTATGAATATTTCAATGGTAAAGCAAGAAATAAGATACACTTCCTCACCTTAAAGGAAAAAAACCCACCACGAAAGAGGTGCATACTGTGTTGTTTAATGCAGTGTGCATCTATATTTGAAGTAATGTATCTTCCAGAAGACGACACATTCCAAAGAAACAATGCCTTCTACAGCTATTATTCT